GGATATCATGGATTAAATAAAGCAGGTCCTAAATTCCAACCAAACTCTTGCTGAGTGCCTTCCACTCTTAGACGTGTTGTAGCATGTCAAAGGCTATCACCCCCCCACCATTTCCATAGTCCTGCAAGCCATCAGAAATGCCAGCTTTTGATAAACGGTTGCAGCACTGTGAAAAAGATAGATGGGTTACTCATAGCTAAGTTTGTTTAGCATCAGTCCTGTGATGGACCTGGCCTTCCTGATTAGTTTGTTTAGGATCAGTCCTGTAACGGAGCTGGCCTTCCTGATGAGTTTGTTTAGTATCAGTTCTGTGGTAGAGCTGGCCTTCCTGATGAGTTTATTTAGGATCAGTCCTGTGATGGAGCTGGCCTTCCAGATGAGTTTGTTTAGGATCAGTCCTGTGACGGAGCTGGCCTTCCTGATGAGTTTATTCAGGATCAGTCCTGTGATGGAGCTGGCCTTCCAGATGAGTTTGTTTAGGTTCAGTCCTGTGATGGAGATGGCCTTTCTGATGAGTTTGTTTAGGATCAGTTCTGTGGCAGAGCTGGCCTTCCTGATGAGTTTGTTTAGGATCAGTCCTGTGATGGAGATCGCCTTCCTGATGAGTTTATTTAGGATCAGTCCTGTGTCGGAGCTGGCCTTCCAGATGAGTTTGTTTAGGATCAGTCCTGTGATGGAGCTGGCCTTCCAGATGAGTTTGTTTAGGATCAGTCCTGTGATGGAGCTGGTCTTCCTGATGAGTTTGTTTTGGATCAGTCCTATGATGGAGCTGGCCTTCCTGATGAGTTTGTTTTGGATCAGTCCTATGATGGAGCTGGCCTTCCTGATGAGTTTGTTTTGGATCAGTCCTATGATGGAGCTGGCATTTTGTGTAACGTCACCACTGAAGATCTGACATTGTTTACAACCAGAAGGGAATATTATATCTTTATTAAAAATCCTTGCTCGTACTACTTTGCCATTTTGCTATCAAATGATGTATGCATTAATGCAATCAAAGAAAAAAACAAGTTATTACCATAAAACTAAGACTGATGTGTTAAATTTGAAAGTTCTGTGGAGAATTTAAAACTTAATACTGAATAATCAGACACTTCAAGTTGATTGTTTAACTGGGTCAAATCTGAAACTCTGCACATGTCATCACCCCAGAGCATTTTTAAACTAGTAACGGTCTACATACCTGTGCCGAGAAGTGAATACACAGCATAATAGTTTTTATTTGTGGTCCAACAGTTTTTTTTTGCATTTTACTCTCCATTCTTACTCTTTTTATATGCATTCATATATACAGTTGAGAATGAAGCTTGGGTCCAAGCCATTAATGCCCTGGAGCATTTTGGGGAGTTACTAGGGGTAGGTAAGGGTGCAGAGTTGCATGTGTTGTATGTCCTGGCTGTCATTCTCCAGCATGTTTGTACAGCATTGGTACAGAGCTACCAGACCGTTTTTTATGGTCTGTATGGGTATTCCTTTATGTATCTCAAAAGATATCGCCCTTCTTTTGTTTCTATGACATATTCCCAAAAGAAAAACTACAGAGTCCAGTCTTATGTCCACTTGGGTGAAATTGAACTTGGTGTTTAAACAAACACTCGTGAGTTGGTCAAATCTTCCTAAGTCCATAGTTTACGTCAAGGTGCCCCCACCACTGATTATCTTCGATGTTTTTCTAACATTATGCACATGCACCCTCCCATGCCCCTCATCATGTCTGCCAAGTCGGCAATTATCTGGTTCACAAATATAAATCATAAACAGATTCTGTGCATGACACCCAGTAAAACAAAGCACACTGTGGAATGCAAATATTGCAAAGCGATGCTAACTGAGGTGGCTTGCACAACTTCCAATTTCTGTCTACATATGGAAAGGAAACACAGAAGACAGGTACATAAGCTAGCAAACTCAGTTTGTTGAGAGGCCATGACTGGCCAAGCGTCCAGCAAAAATTTGTTTTATGTGGTGATCTAATGATAGCTATCCAGCTAGCTAGCCAAACTCTTATAATAATTATTATTGTTGTATTTTATTAATCCCTGTGTCCAAAACTCTCATTCTTACATATTGCAGACTTTGGTCTTCAGAGAGATACAGCCAGTCAGTATTCAGCTTCCCTGGAGTAGATATGTTTAAAGGTGTTAGGGGACACTGGGGACAACTGATGAACTGATTCAGTTTAGGCTTGGATAGTACAGTGGTACCTCAGTTCTCAAACTCATTAGAACTTGAATTTCTTAAAAGTCAAACCAACCAGTTCGAAAAAAAATTACCTAGAACTTGATCTGAATCTCTGAACAGTGAACGCCGACTTAAGATAACTTGTACAAGCGGGGAAATGAGTCACGTGGCACGTCTCTCAGCGGAAACAAAGGGTAAC